GATTCACACAGTTCTGGGTTTAAATTTCAGTTATGCTACTTAGTTTGTGACCTTGTCAAGTTACTTCAGTTCCCTAAGCCTCAGGTTCCTCAGCCTTAAAATGAGATTATTATGTATAATGAAACACTGTGGTAAGAAGCAAAAACTTAGGTGAAACATCTGACAGAGTGCTTTCTAGTCTGACAATGTAAGTCATCCAGTCATTGGTAATTATTATTCGGTAACTAATGAAGTATGTTGAAATTATTGCTAAGTTAAGAATAAAGTAAATTTCTTACTAGGAGCATGCTTTTAATGTGTACAATTCCTTGGCATTATGCGGGAGACAGAAAGATGAAAAAGAATATATTATCTACCCTCCAGGAGTTCAGAGCCTAATGAAGACAGACATGTAAAGAAAACCACAGCAATCTGATGAGCAAAACAGTAAAAGCAGCAGCACTCTATCTGAAGTCAAAATATTTTTCTGCAAGGGGTGATACTTACCCTACCCTAGCAGGGTAAACAGGAGTTTACCAGATTAGGGGTCAGGGATTGAGGTGAGCAGACTTGATATTCATAGCCCCATTTTTGATCTGGATGTTTCTTTTAGGTAACATCATTTTTGCCTTTGTCTTCCATTTCTGCCTTTATGTAAATTTCTCCTGTTAGAGTTAATTCTAGCTTCACTTGACTTTCAGACTGTGTAATCTCTGTTCAGAAAAATTCTGTATTTCCTTTGACTATTTTCTTATAGTCAAGAAAAACATAGTCCAGGCTGGAAAGAAGTAGCAACTGATTCTAAGTAGTGAGAAGAAGAAAGGAGAGTGAGAAATGGAAGAGGAAGACTAAGAAGGCAGTCTTGGTAACCCTCAGAAATCTAGGAAAGTTTCCTAGTTTCCAGTATGGGCAAATGGTCGGGTCATGGTGCCATTAATCAAAATGGAGACACAATAGGAAGAAAAAAACAGCTGAGAGGAAAACAGCTTAACTTAAAATTTGTCTGAACAGAGCTTACGTAGTCTGAAACTCAGGTGAGGCTAGAATTAACTCCAACAGGAGAAATTTACATAAAAGCAGAAATGGAAGACAAAGGCAAAAATAATGGCACCCAAAAGCAACATCCAGATCAAAAATGGGGCTATGAATACCTGTTTTGCCTTCTCATGAATAGCTTATTTTCTGGCTTGGACTTGTTTTCCAGCTGGACAACTGAATTTTATGAAAGTGAGATGTGATTTATAATTTGCATACTGCTATAAAAGCCTGAATCTTTTTTCACATAGGTCTGCTGAATATAGGTGCTTATGTCTCCTGAGAACTGTGTCCAACTTCTTTACTATCATCTCAGGACTTCTAAAGTGTTTAAAATCTGAAAGATGCCCAATAAAAATGAATGATTAACTAAATGTGGTCCTTAAATCAGTCAAGAAGCCAAATGCTGCACTGAAAGACTTTAAAATTGCTTTGGATATTGTTTAAGGTTATATATGAACATGTAATGCAGTAATCTAAATTTTTCTCTAAATACTTACTGTCTTTTCCATTTCAAAACACAATTTTCAGTGGTTTGGGAACTATGAACTCACTTTTCTAAGTTCAAGAACTCACCTAAAACCAATGATTTACGGATATCCTTTCAAGAGAGAAGTCAGAAGCAGGTAGAAAAGTGTAATTTCTCATTTTTAAAAATACTAATTTAAAAAGAGAAAAAAGGCTGGGCCCAGTGGTTCACACCTATCATCCCAGGGCTTTGGGAGGCTGAGGCCAGAAGATTGCTTGAGACTAGGAGTTTGAGGGCGACTTGTGCAACAAAGTGAGATCCAGTCTCTACAAAAAATAAAATTCACTGGTTGTCACTGTGCACACCTATGGTCCCAGCTGCTCAGGAGGCTGAGGCAGGAGGATCACCTGAGCCCAGAAGTCTGAAGTTACAGTGAGCTACGATCATACCATTGCACTCTAGCCTGGGCGACAAAGCAAAGACCCTATCTCCAAAAAAACAAACAACAAAAAAAACTGTTTCCAAAAAAAAAAAAAAAAAAAAAAAGAATAAGAGAAGGAGGGAAATACTAAAATGCTTATCTTACTCTTCCAGGTAGATTCTTGTGTTAACAGTGTGAGACATCTTCACAGGAATGTTGAAGAGAGTATTTTAAATGGACTCTCACCCCTAAGAATGAAGACTAGACAAGTGTAAATGTTTCTTTGGCATTTTCTTTGCACATATCAACTTAAATAGATGCACATTACATAAACTCAGAAAGTCAGTGTTCACAAATCGGTAGATGAAAAAGGTGAGTCAATAAATAAGCAGGGGAGAGAACTGTGGAGCAGAAGAAACTAATAAAGACCTGAGAGTATAGAAGGGCACCACTAGGAAGCTGAGTCAATACGAACTTTAGTGCTTGTTTTGTCATTATTTCTCATTAACAAAGTAAAAGATACTTTATGAAATCTTCATTACTTAATAAAAACTAAGAAAGGATAAAGCTCAATGCTCTGTACATCAGGTTACCAGTTACAGTCATATTTTTTGGATAGTCCAGTTTTCAATACTTCCTTTTGCTTTTTCTGAATGTCTACCCTCCCTCTTATGAACATTTTTTACATTAATGAAGAATAGGCTTTAGTAGTAATATAGGGGAAAAAAGAAAACTGAACATGATAACCTAATTATAAAACTAATTGGAAATAAATTAATCCATCTTTATTGGCACATATTTTCATACAAATATTTTTGTGTAGTTGAGAATTCTTTGGGCACAATTTATCTGCCTGAATGTGGACCTTGGGAATCTCCTACTAGAAATCTTGGCACGCTATGCTTTCACAATTAGATCTCTGAAAGATATTGCATGGGGCAGTTCAAGAGTTTCAGTTTTGGAGTCAGCAATTTAGTTCTTACTTCACAATTTACTATCTCCGTAACTTTTCTTAAGTACCCTGCATCTCAGTAATCTGTAAAATGGGACCAATAATAGGACTTACTTCACAATAGTCACAAGGAGGACATAAAGTAATGTGTCAGGAAAACGCTAAATAAATTGTGTTATTTTGGTAGCTGCAAGTTCAATTAGTACTTAATCAATATTTTGTATTGCAAGTGTATCAAATAACCTAGGTTCCACCATGGCAGGAAAACAAAAGCCCACTCACTTCCAGAGTATTGCAGTGTCCTGTCACTGGTAAGTGTTCCAAGTAATTTCTTCCTTTTAACTTTGTAGTAAAATAGCCAATAAGTCAGGTTTCAGTCGGCTACCAACTGAGAAGGTAGTGACTAGAAGACAGCCTATCCTAAAAATCCACTGCAAATAACAACTAAGCAGGTAAGCAGCACCCAAAAAGTCTAAATTGTAATGAGAGTAAATAACATAAAAGCCATCAGCAGTTTGCCTTGCAGAATCCTGTAAGTTTTAAGAAACTGCTTCTGCTTACTTGCTTTCTAACACATACCTCTGAAGCAAAAAACCCTGAAGAAAAAACCCAGGTCAGGTCCTATTCGTTTAAAAGTTAAAATCTAGCCCGAATTCTCACCCTTTTAGAAGATGAGGAAGATGCCATCCGTGGTTGTCATAAAATTATACTTGTTTTGGAAGACTCTTTTAGATTATCCCCAAGTTAAAATCATATGTTAAGTTCTCTCGTAATTACAAAAGGCACAGTTTTAGGATGGAAAGGCAGGCTAGCTTGGAATTTTAAGTTTCCCACTCTGCCACAATGTGGATTCAGTTTTATATTTGGGGCTGAGGTTTGAGTTTGGGTTTCTTCATCATTATTTTACCCCCAAATACACTGTCACTAAACCGCATTGCTATTTACTACAAGTGTAAACATTTCAGGTGAAATCAGGGAGAAGAATGGAATAACTAAAGTTAACATGCTTGTTTAAAAACTATCCAGATATCTTAAACATTCCCAGATGCCAAATATGTATTTGTTGTGGTGGGGGAAAAGGAAAAAGGCCACACCCAAAGTTAAGACACCACAGTGAAGTGATACCAAGTTTCAGAATTTTAACTACTGCTATTTTCAGTACTCTTTTCACGGTCAATGAATTCTTTAAATTCACACCAGGCCCAGCGTTAAACAAAATGTTCCTCTGATCCTAATTACTTAGGTTACTTCATTTAGTAATGGCTAAGTCCAAGATGGAGACCCACCTCATTCAAAGAAAGGTTTAAGTAACTTTGGTGTAGAAGAGGGCCAAACTCAAATATCAGCGCTCAGAAGAGACTCTGGATGAGCCAGACACCACTCCCCCCTCCCCCAAGAGGCCAGGATGTCAAGTAGCGCCTGACTGTATGAACACAGCAGTTACCTGACACAGAACGCTACCAAGTTACTTGGACCCTTCTTTCAGTTTAGCTCCTCCCTAGACGCCCCTCTCTCCTTGGTGCCGCCTCCACCCAGGAAGTCTCTCTTCCCGCCCACCCCCATCCCCGCAGTCCAGCTCCCATCAGCTTCCTCAGCCTCATCTCCAGCCCACCTCCGTGTTCTCGCCTACTCTTCTCATCCCCGCTTACCTTGGCCACATAGTCTTTCACCTCATCCAAGTCTCCGTTTTTCAGGGCCCACATGAACTCCTTGTCGCACATCACTGCAGCGGGGCAGGCCGGCTGGCCGGGCAGAAGATGAGGAGGCGGTGGCAGCAGCAAGCGGATGCCGCCGGGCAAGAGGGAGGCAGGGCCGCGCGAAGCCGGAGAGAAGAGAGGGCGGGTTAGGCTGCCAGGCGGGCGAGGCAGTTGGCCGCTGCTACCGTTCCGTTCGGGCGGGAGAAAGAAAGTTCTTTTGCGGCCACGGGGCCCAGCAGAGCAGGTTCCGCCTGGCCGAGAAGCAGGAACCTTTACACTTCCGGTTCACTCCCCGCTAGGACCCTCCCCCAACTTCCTCTTCCTCTTCTCCGCGGAACGCCCCTCTCTGGGCCCCGCCTCTAAGGCCTGTGACGCCGGCGCCACTACTGGGCATGCGCAATGTACAGGGGCGGCCAGTGCGGAGGGGAGGAGCCGCGGACAAGTGGGCGGGACCGGGAGGCTGAGAGAAACGGCCCCAGAGGAGGTCCAGAGTGCGAGTAGAGGAAGAGTGAGAGGTATTGTGGATGCGATTAGGACTTTCTGCACCTAAAGTTTTAAAAACTTAACTTTTTAAAAAACAATCTTGGAGGGCATCTTGCTCAGCTTCTAAAAATGTATAGTAAGAGTGTTTGGTTTGAACTCCTTTCTTTCCTTCCTTTTCCCCTTCCCTCCCTACCCTACCTTCCCTCTCTCTGTTATCCTGTATTACTGGGCTAAAAACGGTAGAATAACGCCATTCCTGCCCGCAAGGAAATCTTCGACACCTAAAACTACGACGTAAATTGAGTATGTTAACTATGTGTAATGTTCTCTGGAACAAAAAACTTTAGTGTGTGGCAGGGGAAAAAAAAGAAAAACAGCTCCTTTTCCTGACCAGCAAATGACGTCCAGGAGTAGGAATTCAGTCTGATGCCTTAAAGTGGAGCAAACCAAATTGTCTAGTACAATTTGCGTTTTTTAAATTTACTTGAAACTCTAGAACCGTTCTGGTGAAGTCAGGTCTGTGCTTCCTAGGGTTTAGTTGTAATGCCATGGTGCACAGCTACCAGGTGAACTGTTCCTGACAACTCTAATGATCCAAGCATGAGCACATGAACGTAGATCCAATAAAAGCTCTTCTTGGAACTAGAATATACACATAATATATACACATATTTAACTATTACTATATATATAACTCATATATATACAGATAATCTATTTTTTGTAACCCACTAAACAAATTCACCAAGCTACTTTACTGCCACTGCGATACAGTGTAGGGGTTCTGAACAGACTCTGGAGCCAAATTGTTTAGTTTCCAATACAGGCCCCACTTCTTGCCAATTTTGTGTCATGTTGGGCAAATTACTCAATCCCCTTCTACTGAGCCCTACGCTTCAGTTTTCGACATGTGCAGAATGGGGATACCAATAGTGTTTGGAAATGTAGTTTTTTGCTGTCAATTAGAATAGAATAGCAAATAGGTTTCAAATCAAAAGAAATCCCTCCAAATATTAACAGCTATCTAGATTGTTATTTGTTAATTTTACTCCCTGACAATTAGAAATACAAGTCCACATACCCAGCAGTGATACATTTCTGGAAACAAATCTCAAGGAGGAGTTTCTTAGGCAAGTCCTGGAGTCTCCATCTCTTCTCCAACACACTCCCACCTGTGTGATTTCTGAGTTACATCATGCTGAGAGCTCTTGATTTATATCTTTGGCCAGGTGCAGTGGCTCATGCCTGTAATCGTAGCAGTTTGGGAGGACAAGGCTGGAAGATCAGCTAGGGCAACAAAATGACACACCGTCTCTACAAAACACAAAGATTAAAAAAATTATCTGGGTGCAGTAGCAGACACCTGCTGTCCCAGGATTGTTTGAGGCCACAGTGAGCTATGATGGCACCACGGCACTCCAGCCTGGGTAACAGGGCAGGGGCATCTAAAAAAAAAAAAAAAAAAAAAAAAAAAAAAAAAAAATCTCTAACCAGACTTTTCCTATGTGATCCACTCTTTTTTTTTTTTTTTTTTTTTTTT